AAGGGTGACAGCGACTGGAGAGCAGCGGTGGTGGCTGTGGTGACGGCGGCGGTGGTGGAAGTTCCAGCTGTTGTGGTTGCAGTGGTCGTCGACGGTTTCCTTGAGGGAACCTTTGAAACGGCGGCGGCTGTTTTACTTTTGGCTTTGCCTTTCATCTGCTGAGCTGAGCTGGGCTTTTTGGGGACGACTTTTGAGGGCGTTTTTGGAAGAGCCGGCGACGGCGCTTGAGTTGGCGGAGGCAGCAACTGCACCGGGCCCACCTTCGAGGGTGGCGTGCCCCGCCAGTTCTTATCACTTTTTTCCTCGCCACTGAGAGGGAAGTCGTCGTTGACGACTGGCCAATCGGCGGGCTGTGCTTTTTCATCACCATTTCCGCCCCGTCCTTCTTTTTCTTGGCCATTGTCACCTAAAGTTTCCTGCTCGGCACCGCCTCCATTGGCTTGCTGCTGCTGCTGCTGTTGAAGTTGTTTTGGGTCCTGAACACTATTCTCGCCTTCATTTTGCTGAAAAAAGCCTTCTTGTGAGTCTAAACAACAGCAGAAGACGAGGATGACAATAACACAAGAGCAGCCACAAGCTAAAATGGCACTCAGAATGATGATGAAGATGGTTATTGCCATACTGCCTCCCTCGACATGGTTGCTATTATAAGAATCCGCTGTATTTTGAGGATTGTCACGAAATCCCTCTATAGAATGCCACCAAAAAGCAGAGATGAGGATGATGATGTGCAAAGCCAGTGACTGTAGCTCAGGAAAGTGGAAGAAAGCAGCGGCTCGATGCATTACAGTGTTTGGATTTGGCTGACGTATACTCTAGATCAAATTTTGAAAACAGTAAAAAGTGAAAAAAGTTATGCAGCACTTTTCTCTCAAAACTTTCCAATTTTATTGTTTTGAAGTTCAAAATTGTTAGGTTTTAGAACCTCTATGATTTTAGAACTTACAAGTATTGTTCTCCCACTCTATTTAGAGTGGCGTATTTCAATGTAGTGAGTTAATTATTCACTAGTTTTAGTTGAATAAAGTTATCTTTCAGCTCACGCTCTCCCTGCCTTCTAACAAAAATAAAAAACAAAAATTGTATTGTTTGAATTTTTAAACCAATTGAAACTTTCCAACAAGAAATAAATAAAAAATAAAGCAATACTTTTTAACTTTGCTCTGCTTTGCTACTCTACAACGGTTACGCCCAATGACAAACTTCAATTCCCCTTTAGTGAATCTCCAAGGTAATGGTGCACTAGTAGTGATGTTTCTTTGCATCATTTTTGCCAGCTTTCTTCAAACTCGTGTCAGTGTCTTCTCTGTAAGTGAACGATCATCAGTGCCACTTTATTAAACACTTTTTCATACAAACACACACACACACAGTGCGACATACCAACAAAGGCCGACAACATCCACGAGCCGCTACTGGCCGCTGCCTTCATCGGCGAAAATCACTTCATCGCCGTCTTTAACGTCTCCGACAGCGTCTGCATCTTCCAGGCGCCGGGCACCGCCGTGGCCAACGGAAAGGCAGGATTTTACTATCCAGGGGTATTGTTGTAAAATGTTTACATTACAGTTATATTAAAGTTCTAAATTGTTAAACAGTGATGTTATTGGCTGGAGCGAACGTAAACACTGCCAAAGCGCTTCGCGTAGTGAGTGAAAGCCTAGGATCGGGTCAAAAATGTTTTGAAGTTTTTTCTTGTGTGCACGATTCATCAAAGTCAAACTATTCCGATTGCCACCAAACTTGGCATAAAGAAAGCTAAGGAACTGTAGATGTGCACAATGCTTTCAAAATTGAAAAACTCCCAGCCGTTTGGAAGCTAGGCCCCTTTTTCCCAAATAACAACCATATATTTTCTGCGCCGATAGGCTTTTTTGTTTCTGAACTGATCGTTCCCAAACTTAGCACAGTAACAGTTGACAGTTGTGCGGATTGCAGTATTCAATCAGATTGAAAAACTACCCAGCCGTTTTAGAGTTATGACTGATCAAACCTGGCCCAAATTTTGTGTTTACAAAGTCAACAACTGCGCGCCGCCATCTAGCGGGAAAAAAGAGAACTATGATAAAACAGCAAAGACAATGTGGAAGCGCGTGGCGGAACACTGCTTGGCAGTGCACGGCACAAGGCGGCGAGGTCTGGCACCTCTTGGCCACTGTCAACTTCCGCTGCCTCGGGCCTCGCGAGCGAAGCGAGCGGGGCCCGAGGCGGCGGAAGTTGACAGTGGCCAAGCGATGTCGGGTGAGCCGCCGGTAAAGTGATCGATGTATACTTGCAGTGCACGGCTACACCTCGCGTGCTCTGACGTGTCTTGACCACTGTTAACTTCCGTCTCTTCGGGTCCCGCGAGCGAAGCGAGCGGGGCCCGAAGAGACGGAAGTTGACAGTGGTCAAGTCACGTCAGAGATTCGCGATAAAGTAGTTTGAAAGTTCTAGCGGTGCACGACTCAAGGCGGTGAGGTCTGGCACCCCTACTCGCTCCAGCCAAAATCTACTGGTGGAACACCTGGAGATCCCCTAGTTTACTGACAGTGATTTTTTTTGTTTTTTCACCATTTTGTATCTTCTAGACCCGACAATACTTCCACTGCCGCCGCACAGCATTCACCAGATGTGCGTCTCCTGTCGGGCGTGGCGGCGTTCTTCCTGCGGCGCCACGATGACCGCCGCCACCTTGCAGCAACTTCAACAGCTGCAACTTTATCAACAGCAGCAGCTGCAGCTGCATCAGCAGCAACAACAACAACAACAGAATCAACATCAACATCATCATCCACCTTCCTCTCCTTCCTCTCATCACCCTCCCTCAAACTCCACCTCGGCGCAGGAGTTTTCCACTGAGAGCACTGGCAGCTTCAGCGATGGAGTTGGCAGCAGAAGCAGCAGCAGTTGTACGGTCTACAATCCTTTGTCTCCGCCGGCGGTGCCAGTCCCAACCGTTCCAACAGTACTTTCTCCTCCAGCTTATTCTCACCAGTTACCACTGAACCAACAACAACAGCCAGGACCGCATCAACAACAGCACCACCACCATCACTACAGCCACCACTATCCCTATCTGCGGAAGATGATCATCGGCGAGGATGAGGGCGAGCTAGTGGAAGACGTTAATTTACAGGAGCAGCAACTGCAAACGCCTACATCCACAACTGGTGACCTGCTGATGGGTCTCAGCGATATGGACATTCCGCTGGTGGACGGAGATGAGGAGGATGAAGAGGAGGACAATTGCCCGTTGCTTGAAGCAGAACAGCTGACCAGTCTTCAGAGCAACACTACACTGACCACCAGCAGTACGACGGCCGGCGATGTGACGCTTCTGATCACCGTCGACGATGACGGAGAAAGAGGGCCTAACAGAAGTAACAAGCCAGGCCGGGCAAATCAACCAGGGAATGGACTGAGTTGTGGAACAAATTCTAGTAACAATATAAACAACCCCAACAACCGCAGTGGCCTTCTTCACAACGGAAACAACCTCGAGAAGGTGGTGATTGTGGAGGGCTTGGATTCAGTGACGACCAGTGCCAATACCACCGCTACCACTTCTTCGAACGACGTCCGTTTGCAATCATCATCAACTTCATCATCATCAACTCAACAAACACAACAACAACAGCAGCCTTCGAGCACTAAAGTCAACAACAGTAGTGGCAGCAACAACTCTAGCAGTAGTCCATCAGCCACAATCAAAGTGTAGCCAATTTAAAAGGTAGGTGAATCTCAATGTACACAACACAAATACACAACAAAACGCACACGAAATTATTTTCTGTTGAAATCCAAAAGCAAAACACTAACTCAAAATGTGCCATTTTACTAACAAAATTTTATTTTTGTTGTGGTACCTCGTACCAGATCTAGTCTGTCTAGTCAAACAAATATCACTTCCAAAAATGATCACACACATATCATTACGACTACTTGTTGCACATTTATTTTGCCCATTTTGCCTCTTTTTTTCTCCAAAGATCACCTATCATCATCAGCATTATAATTATCAGATTGATCCCATTGATTTATTATTTCCCAGCAAAGACCAAAACACCACCACTTGACCAGCTGCAACCTCTCTTCTTCTGCCCATCTCTCTTGCTCCTTTTTCATTTGCCTTTTTCTACTTCCCTTTTTGCCCCACTTCCCTTCTTTATCCCACATGTGATGACCTTTGATTGACCAAAACAAAACAAACAAACAAAAATTTGATTTATGTTGAAGAAGAAAGATGTTGCTGCTAAAGACACTGTGCCCACAGTTGTTGTTG